CCTGTACCGTGTTGATATCGTGCAGTCTTTTCAGTAACATCAAAAAGTCTCCAATATTCTCTAGATGGTTTGCATGCTCTGCAAACTTCTACATACATATTGCCGTGTACCTCGGAGAGAAAATTACGCGGGATACCACTGCGTAAGTGTAATCCATCACAGTTTTGAGAAACTACATGTTTGAGGATTCGCGCCTTATATAATGCATAAAGGGCCATATGCGTCAAGGTTGGCTCAGCTTGACTCAGATCATGATTCCTGTCGAAAATATAAATAATATAATATAAACAACATAAATAATTAAATAATAAATTTAGGGGGATCCTATATATTTTGTATATAGGAATGTCCGAATGTTTCGGCGCCTCATCATATTTATATTATTAGCGTTTCAGATAGATTGTGTTTAGGGCTGCGTAAGATATAAACTTAAGCCAATAACCCAATTAGGATACTGCTTTAGATTACGTAATCTAACGGAAATAAAAATAACAATAAACTTATCCATAACCTCGCAATAAGGTGAATTTCAACCGGTTGAAACTCGCCTTATGGATAAGTTTACTACTATTTCTATTTCCGTTAGAGTACGTAGATCTAAAGCAGTATTCTGATTGGCTCATCGGCTTAAGTTCACGTCTTGAAGTTACTGTTACAGAAATTTTGTCTGTGGCAATTAGTGTCCGAACGTTTCGGCGCACAGTCACATATGAGAGAATTAAATTTAAAAATTAAGAATATATATTGTATTCATAATATCTAACTTTGACTGATTATTAGCATTCTCTCTCATATTTATGTATAATATTATAATAAATATAATATAAAAATATGTAATATATAAATATGTTTCTTACATTTCTTATATTTCTTACGTTTACTGTTATATTGACAGATTATATTTATTGCACTGTAATTACCATTGATAACTGTACAATATTAAAGAGTGAATTATCTTCAATTTATTTTTGCAAAATAGTAAATAAATGTAAACCTAATTGATATAAAGAAACAAGAAATGTAAATCGAAATTTTAAAAAACAAAATCTTTCATAAATATTGAAGTCTCAACTTGTTAATTAATAAAGATTAATAAGAAAAAAAAGTTTATTAACCATTATATAAAATCTTTCATAAATTTTATTATACAATCTTTATATTTATGAAATGAGGAAGATTAAAATGAAGTTATTGCAAAAAAAAGAATTATTGCCATACAGGATTAAATTTCAATTAAAATGATTCCTACCCAATGTCCTTTCCTTGTTGCATACGAGTCCAAACTCCATTAGTACCTCTATAATCTGGAATAGATGCCGCTGTGCTAATACCAGCACCAGTGTATACTGCAAGTGATGTTGCTCTACTGATTGCTGCTGCCAAACGTATACATTTTTCCTCCAAAATTTCAGGTGCATCTTCAATCTCTTCCAATCTCGCCTTTATTTTATCTCGTTTTTCTTGTCTATAAATACAGACAAGCAAATTACAAATAATTTTATATTCTACTTAAAATTAAAGGACATATTAAATATATTATCTCTTTAATTTTGCAACTATCAGTGAATTATTGATAAAACGTAATCATAATATACTATTTATAATAGGATATAATGTATTAATAATAATTTACATTCAAAAATTTTATTATTTACTCTATTATCGTCATTTATATCTCCAGTACAAATTATAATCAAACTGAATAAATTAATATATTAAATATATGCATTCGCAGATATCTTTATATTATCAGAATACCTATTATGTTATTATAATTTTAGATAGCAAAATCCCCCCTTCCCCCTCCCCCGCTCTCTCCCTCTTTCCGTCTCTGTCGAGAACAGATTCTGAAAGTGTCTATTATAAATTTTGTTGTCAAAATGACTGCAGAAATATTCATAAACAGATTCCGCTTACTGAACCTAATAATATAATATTGACGTATTTGAAACTAGACGTTTTATTTGAATTTATTTTTATTTTTATTTGATTGTTGACTCTTACTTTGCCCTTTTTTATTGTTAATTCATTTTCATAAGAAGAGTCCTCCTATTTATCAAATATAATATTGATATACAGGATGTTTACTCTAATTCGATCATTTAAAGTATCTTCGTTGTTTTTGATAATGCGAGAAAATATCACAGATCTTGTTCGATTCAAAGGGGCACATACTATGAGCAAAAAATTTTTCTCAAGGTCATATTTTTTTGAGACTTCAAAGTCACCTACACTTTATAAATGAAATTGTATAATTTTTTACACAACATGATTCCTCCAATTATCCTGCATATAAAAATATTAAGATACGTATATCAAAAAACCAATAATTTACGAGATATTTTATACATTATTCTGACATTGACATAAAATGTTAAATAATTCATGAACTGTTAATTTTTTTGATAAATTTCTCGATCAGGAGACCCCCCCCCCCCA